TTAACATTGCATACCAGTTGTATGTTTTAAAGTTGGCTTTCCAAGCTAATGTTTTATTTAAGTTACATCTAAGAAGAATTCTATGGTTACAAGCATGAATATAATTACTTACACAAAGGAAAGTAGTCAAATAATCAAAATCTTTACATTTTTATCAATATGGGCCACAGATCAATTTCCACTTACTAATTCCATAGTATTTAACATTGCATACCAGTTGTATGTATAACTTGGTATGTCTGGAGACATCAGTTCATTGTAGATCATATGCTCAGGGTTTTCAGAAAATACTCTGAACTTACTGGGTTACTAATATTTAATTACAAATTTTAAAAACAAATAAAAAATAATTTTCTAAACTTTAAAAAAATTTAATAAAGATTTGTTTAATGCCACGCTTATGCTGGGCAGTAGGGGAGAGAGCAGGGACAAGAGAAAGAACAATGAACAAGTAAACACACACATATAATAGTTTATTATCTTTAGCTATAAAATATCAAAAAAATTAGAGATTATGTTATAGATACAGCCTGTACGTAAACTTTTTAAATAGAGGCCTTACTTTGAGTATATCAACTAAACATTGAATAGGCACTGAACATGCATTGCTTAAACAGCTGGAGGCTTGGAAGACTGAGAAGCAAAACAAGAAAGACAGTTATTTAGGCTACCTTTGTGGAAAAAGAGAAAACAGTAAGCACTTAGCATCAAAAATGGGGAAAGACTGGGCACAGATCTTAACCCCAGCACTCAGGAGCAGAGACAGGGGGATCTCCGTGAGATCAAGGTCAACCTGGTCTATATATCAAGTTCAGGACCAGGTGGATCTATCTCAAAAAACAAAGAAACGAACACAAAGAATGGGGAAAGTACACTTTTAAAGGGTGAGGAAACCTGAGCATTTGATTCTATCATTAACTAGTGGTGTAAACTTGAGCAAGTCACTTCATCTCTCTGACCTCAGTTTTAGCACCTGTAATGGTGATAATCTCTCTCCTGCCTACACTTGAGAAAACCAAACTGCCTAATTATCAGCATAAAAATGTGAAGACTGTAAAGCACAACTTAAATTAACAATATTTATCAAAATCTAAAAAAAGAAGTGGTGATGGAGACATAGCAAGGGTATATTGAGAGCTCTGTCCTACAAATCCCAAGTTTCTTACTGCGTGAGAGAAAAGAGACAGTGAAAACTAGTCTTTCAGGGGCACACAGCTGAAATATGGTTTCTTCCCCAACAGGGAACATATTCCCTCAGTTTTTTGTTTCTCTCACATTTGTCCCCACCCATCAGAGAGGTGTTCTGAAACAAATACTCAATATGATATTCAGTACGATTACTCTTACCTAAACAATAGTTACAATGTATTTACTGGTTCTGAGCGCTGACCCATCGGTTCCTTCATGCTTCAGGGACACTTGACATTCGTGAACAGAAGTTTTTACTAGATTGTGGATTCCTGTTTGTGTGTTTTCTCATGAACCATCAGAACTTCAACTTCTACTCTGCTGACATTTGCAATCCTGTGTTAACTACAAGCAGCAGATCTCTCATAAACCTGAACCATTCTGTTAACCTGCATTTTCCTCCCTAATCTTAGTTTATGGCTATAGCTATTTAATTCTGTGTTGCCAATATTCTGAAGTCAAAATTACTTTTTTAATTTCCTAGGGCCATATACAATTTAAGCCCTTAAGAGAAGGGAAAACAGTGATAGCGAGGTGGTACCGCCTGCCGTACCTCTTCCTTCGCCCTTTCAATGCTCATTCCAAACATTTCCTTTCCATTTCTACTGGCTCAATTTCAAAGGCTCATCTAGCACCAAGCAGCACAATTCCTACTGGGTATCAAGCCAATGCTAAAGCTAGAAATTGGGCTAAGAGAAAGCCAGCCCTACTGTCCAAGCACTCAGCTTAGAAAAGAAACCATTTCTCAAACATGTTTCTGGATCCCTAGAAAGTTACAGATACAATGCAAATATCAAAATGAGTAAGTACCAAAATAGAAGTATGTAGTCAATCTTATAGAAACATAGAAGTAGGAAAACTACCTTTAAACAGGTAAGAATAACAGCACAAAAAAACTAGCCAAGACACTGTTTGAAAAACTCATATACTTTATTTTTAGGCTATCAAGTGTAAGTAGTAATGGATTTACTGTGTTTTGTTGGCCTGAATTTTTACCAGTATTACACTGGACAAAAGTTTAGCTTTAAAAAGCATTCTCCCTCAGAACAGCCTGGGTAGTGTCCCTCGTTAGCAGCAAAATACACCTCTACCTACTACTTATACTAGCTTCTACCCCACTACCTGAGTTCTCTCACTCTTAGTACTCAACATAATCTTCAAGTGTACTTTCATATGCACATAGTATATACATCCCTCTATATTTTGGGGGATGTGGGGCGGGTGCTGTTATTTGCCATCTTGGGAACTGAACCCAAGGGTCTCACACATGCTCTGCAAGTGATCTACATCCCAGCCTCCATAAGTGTTTGAGAAACATACAATATAGGAACATTTATGCTCCTACCTTATACTCCAAAGTTTCCTGTAACCCCCACTGACTTGCAGAGCAGATATTCAATGAATATTTGATTTAAAAACCTCTGGTGATGTTAAAAATTACATATTACAGCCAGGCGTGGTGGCTCATGCCTTTAATCCCAGCACTAGGGAGGCAGAGGCAGGTGGATATCTGTGAATTTGAGGCCAGCCTGATCTACATAGTGAGTTCCAGGACAGCTGGGGCTACAGGGAGACCCTGTCTCAAAAAGACCAAAAAGAAAAAAAAATTACATATTACACTCATATTTACTATCTCATAAAAGCTAAATTAAAAACCATTTTTCTGCATTACAACCTACATATAAAGTGGTGGCACAGTAATTAAGAACAAGCAATCCTTCAACATTACAACCTGTGCATGAACTGATTGGAGTGATTACAACCTACAGAGAAAGACGTGATAGGGGTTAGTAATGGTTACAAGCCCTGTTATTTGAAGAAAACTGCCTGACTTCTAATCTAGACTTGGCACTTACTATGACTCTGGGCAAGCTACACACCCTCCCATCTCTCAATTTCTCAACTACAAAGGGTGAGGAATATAAACAACCCATCTTCTAGTTCCTTCGAGCAAATGAGTTGGAATAGGGTTCAGATGAAAACTTGGTGCATGAGAAGCAGGTACTCAATTCAGCAAAAGCAGTGGCATCAACATCACTAGAACACTTGGACAGTTTTTAATAAAAAAAATAGAAATGGTAAGTCAAGCGTGATAGCGTATGACTTTAATCCCAGAGGCAGGTGGATCTCTGTGAATTCAAGTCCAGCCTGGTCTACACAGTGAGTTCCAGGTTAGCTGGGACTACAGGGAGACCACAAAAAAAAAAAAAAGTACACACACACACACACACACACACACACACAATGGGGCTGGAGAGATGGCTCAGAGGTTAAGAGCACTGGTTGTTCTTGCAGAGGATCCAGGTTGGATTCCCAGCACCCATGTGACATAACTCCAGTTCCAGGGGAACCCAACGCCCTCTTCTGACCTCCAAGGGCATTGCACAATACAGGTGCACTTACATACATGCAGGCAATACACTCATACAAATAAAATAAAAATAAATATATTTTTAAAAAAATACAAATAGCAGCTGGGCATGGTGGCGCACACCTTTAATTCCAGAGGCAGGCAGATCTCTGTGAGTTCAAGGCCAGCCTGGTCTATAAAGTGAGTTCCAGAACAAAAAAGACCAAAAAAAAAAAAAAAAAAAAAAAATCCAAATAACACTGTGTGTCCTCTGACAACTACCAAGCTCTTTTTCAGAAGGTATGGGTCACTAAAACAAGGAGCAGGGTATTCAAAGTTCCATTTGGAGTAACCACATGGTTTTTAATCCTGGCTTTGCTTTTAACCAGCAATAAATGGTGATTAAGTAACCACAGCAGTTATTTTGACTCTTTTCATTTCAGTCTCCAGATTTGTAAAATCCAGTAAAGCACCTATAACCCAAGACTGTCTTGAGGACTAAAGAGCCAAGGTACCCTAAAACAACAGCACAGCCCCCCCCCCACAGGAAAGCTGATGTTTGTTCCTTCTTCCCTCTCACACATCTCAATGGAATATCTAAGTAAATTTTATCTTCATAATGATGAAGTTCATACTGGGTTGAAACATGGAAATGAGCCCAATGCTGGCATGTTAATGTTTCTACTAGTATGCTCAATAAATGATTTACTCAAGGTCATATGGCTCAGGAAGTTAAATAATTTTTCACTAGACCAGCTCACTAAGATGCTCAGCGAGATCTGCTCAGGAAAGAAGGAAAACACATTAACTACTGCAATACATGTAAACCTAATGCAACCTACAAGCTCCTATTCTTCCACAACAGAAAAACGATTAACTATTTCTAGAAACATTTCCATTTAAAAATTTATTTGTAGGGCATCCATGTATGTGTTAGGGGTAGTAGATTAAGAGTTTAGAGAATCTCTTCGGTAAAGAAAATTAAAGCATATAACTACACTGATTCAAACAGTACAGTTCATTTAATTAGAAACTTCACTAATTAGGAACTCCACAAAGGCTAATGAAACTGAACAGGACATGGAGAGTTAGATGTACCAGATATCACAGATGAGTTTATGAAATACACAAGGAAGGGTTTCAGCAAATACACCGATTTACAAAAGTATTCATTAAATCAAAACATACTGTACTGAAAAAAAGAAAAAAAGAAGTTTCTCTACTAGAAATACATTGCTGTAGTAAACTTGGGTAACTGCTGGGTTTATTTCTGTAAGTTTCACGAAGGCTTTTAGGATTAGATCTCAAAAATCAAATTCAAAACACAAACGCCTATTCAAACATGAAAAGTCCTATCAAAATGCACAGTAGTAAATTAATAACAAATGCTAACACATCAAGGCCCCATTAAAAACAGGTGACATTTAACAATATCAAATATTTACAATGTCAGACTCCATACCTATTCTGCCGTTTTTCTTGATTTGTCATTCATTACTTTAAAAAAAAAGAAACACAAAATAAGGATAAAGAAGAAACTGGGTCTTTCAAAAGATTTACAATACAACAGTTTGTTTTAATCCTCTTATCGGCCTCTCCTCCAATTCTGCAATCATTCCACAGCAGAAAAGATTACAGAGCTCTTTCCAGACCCTGAATTGGGGAGGGGGGGGCGGGGATGAAGTGTTTAACAGGTACGCTGGGAATAGGCAACATTTCCTTGAAACTAAATCGCTTCTCAGGAATCGGGTGGAACTCGCGCTGCGCGCTTCAGCCTTCGCGGGTCTGTTTTCCTCTCTAACCGGCAACTCTTGGCGCGCTGCAGAGCGCACCGAGCATCACCCCTTCCCCAGCCCCTAAGCCGGCGGTCCTCGCAGGGGGAGACCGGAGTCTCCCGCCTCGGAGTCTGCACAAGTCAGGCGGGCCCAGCCAGAGACCTCCCGGGTGACCTCTCCGCCCTGGCTCGCCGCCCCGCACGGGCCGCCCGCGACTTGGCGAACTCCGGGGCCCCGCGAGCCCCGGCCGCGCTACCCGCCGGCCCCCGCGCTCCAGCCGGCCGCCTCCGGCACTCGGCCCTCGGAGTTAATGAGTAACGCGTCCCCGCCGCCGCTCGCACCTCCGCGGCCCGGGCACCCTCAGCCCGCTACCGGGGATCCGGAACTCGCGGGGAGACTCAGGCAGGCCGGGCGGCAGCTGCCCTCCGCACCGTCCTCGCCGCCTCCTGCACCTGCCCCGCCGCCCTTCGGACCGCCGAGGCGGCGCACAGCGCCGAGGGGGGCGGTGCTTCACGCCGCGGGCCTCTCCCTCCCGCCGCACTCACCTGCCGGACCCACCGCGGCCGCCGCCCGTATTCAGGGGCGCTCGCAGAGCCGCAGGGAGCGAGTCCCAAGCCGGGGAGACTCGGAGGAGGGCGGCTGACCGACGGCGCTCACTCCGCCGCGGCGGGCGCACTGCACTAGGAGCCGCCGAGGGAGAGCGGACTGCGCCTGCGCGGGAGCGGGACTGGGAGCCGGGAGCCGCGGTCCCTGGGGAGAGAAGGTGGGGTTGGGGGCGGGGCCGAAGGGGCGTGGGGCCGCGCGCTGCGGCGCCCCCTGGTGTCAGGACGGGCTCGGCGCAGGCTCCTCGGCGGGCCGCAGGTGCCTCCCCCACGCGGTTTCCCTGGGAACCACCGCCCCGCCCCAGCCTCTAGCTAACTCTGAGCGCGGTGGGCTCGCCTGGAGCGCTTCTCTGTAAGTTGAGGACCTCCAGAATCGACCTGAGATTCGGCGTCCATTGGGCTGATAAAACCCAGATCCCCTCGCTCCAGCAGCTTCCAGAGCATTTAAGAAGGTCGTTCCTGTGTCTGCCTTCTCTCATCTCTTACGGGAACTGTTTTATCAAATTTCCACCCCAGGTTAGGTCCACCAAGTGGGAAAACAGGAAGAACCAAACTCTGAAAATCTGACTAAAGAAAAGCAATCATCATCTACTAGTTCAATGGGACGGTCGTTCTGTGTATCCATCTCATCTCAGAGGCACTAAAAACAGTAGGTTGTGTGTGTGGTCCCCGTGTTTGATCCGCCACCTACTAAATGACCTCTGTGGCCCTGAGCAAGTTAATAACCCCAATCTTCTCACCAATAAACGGATATCAGAATACCTACCTCACTGGGGTTTTGATAGTTTAAATGCTTTAATAAATGTGAATCAGTGTACTGCATGACAGAGTGCCCAGTGAATGTTATTTTCCTATAATCCAGTAGAAACCTAGAAAGTCATTTTTAACTCTTTTGTAACCCATCTCCAATATATTACTAGTTCATATCCATCCTAATTCCTAAAGTATTCTTGAACTTATCTTGTTTCGCTCATTACCTGCTAGATGTGGTCTTCGTCATTCACGGACTCCTAATTCTTCTCCCTTAAGCTGTGTCATCTACCAGACGTTCATTACCCTTTTATCCATCCATGTGGCTTCTGCTAGACAGGAAAACCATTGCCAACAGCCCTTACTACCCAAAGACTCAAACATAGGGAGACAAGTATGTTAGCCATAGCCAACTTCTTGGGTCTCTTTCTTGGACTGCATAGTCACATGCATCCCTGTCTTTACACAGTTTCTTTTTCCTAAAGTGATACCCCCCCACACACACCTTTTATCTTTAATCACCTAACCCAGTCCTGAATTCTATTGTGAACTTTCCTTATTGCTTGCCTATCTCACTCCATTAAGGGCTCAGTGTGCCTCCCTGTGATCCTATAGCACCCTTGCTAGCACATTCCACATGAATTGTGATTGGCGTTCTCTCCATTATCCTCATTAGAGGATGAGCTTCTTGAGAGTAAGCACAAGGCCTGACATGCAGTAGAACTGGCTCAGCAAATACAGGAAAAATGAATGACACACACAAAGAGTATGCTGTCTTGGTATAGGAATGTTTGGAGGACAAGCCCTCTCATTTATTCAGTAGAAGACCCAGGACGTCACACATCTACAGAAAACAGTAATTACCATATATTTGAGTCTCATAGTGACCCACATGCAAATCACCTAATTACAAGACTCTGCTGTCTTGGATATCAAACTGAGAACACAGTTTGAGAACAAGAAGAGTAACATGTATAGCTACCTATATAACAATACTTCAGCCTTGTAGCAGAGATAGCCACAAACATTGCAAAACTTAGATGCTTGGAATCTCAGCTTGCAAAGTATATAAAGTTAAATTGCTTATCCATGTATCAAATGGACAGACCCTTCACAAACTTTGGAAACATGATAGAGGGGCTGAGAAAATGGCTCAGTCAGCAAAATGCTTGTCATATAAAAATGAGGACCTGAGTTAGATCACCAGCACCCACATTAAATAGGAAAAAGGCAAAAGTCAGGCATAGTAGCACATACCTGCAATCACGGTGCTGGAGGATCCCTGGGGCTTGCTGGCCAGCCAGTCTTGGTATATTGGTGAGTTCCAGGTTCAGTGAGAGACCTGGGCTAAAAAATAAGGTGGAGAGCAACAGAGGGAAATACGTGACATCAACCTCTGGCTGAGAGAGAGAGAGAGAGAGAGAGAGAGAGAGAGAGAGAGAGAGAGAAGAGAGACAAGAGAGAGAGGGAGAGACAGAGTCTCACACAAGCATATACACATGTATACACACACATACACTCACACACAAACATGATAAACTTTGTAATGTCTTCATTTACTTTCTGTCCCTTTCATTAAAATATAAATTATTGGAACTGGAGAGATGGCTCAGCAGTTAAGAGTCCCGACTGCTCTTGAAGAGAACCTGGGTTCAGTTTTCAGCACCTACATTGCAGGCATTATACAACATGAGTGCATTTACAGACATGCAAGCAATACACTCATACACATTAAAAAATAATAAAATATTTTAAAATATAAATTATACAATTAATGTCAAACATATAACTTATAAGACAACATTGAATTTTTGTATCTTGTGATTTTTCCACTTAGGTAGGGCCAGAAAACTAAGGAGGTAAGAAACAAAGAAACTTCAAAACTGAACAAATGATTCTAAAGTTGCTACTCCTATTCATAATTTTTGGCTTACTTGCCTCTGTTTTGTTTTTGAAGTTAAGAAATTTTTGTATATTTATATGATACTTTTCCATTTCAGACTTTCATCATTTTGAGTCCTCTATCGTAAAAAATATTTGACACAGGTGAAAATGTAGTTTTTCTTTATCTTACAAATGAAGAGCTTAGGTCACCAGAGTACAGCCTGGTCACTGGGGTGTAGGTTAATATCTTAAAAAGCAGTGGATTTCAAACTCTTTAAGAAACATATTGGACTTTCACGGCAGCCATGTGGCACAATAGAGACTCTGACAGATTCTTCCACAAAAAAAAAATGCAAAGTGCTATATAAAATATGCAAAAGGGGGCTGGAGAGATGGTTCCATGGTTAAGAGCACTGGCTGCTCTTGCAGAGGACATGGATTCGATTTCCAGCACCCACATGGCAGCTAACAACTACCCATAACTTCAGTTCCAGGGAAATCCGATGCCATCTTTTGACCTCCACAGACAATGCACAATGTGGTTGCACTTACATACATGCAGGCAATATACCCATACACATACACACAGAAAAATAATAATTTTTGGTCTTTTTGAGACAGGGTCTCCCTGTAGCCCCTGCTGACCTGGATTCTCTATGGAGACCAGGTTGGCCTAGGACTCACAGAGATCCACCTGCCTCTGCTGGGATTAAAGGCATGTGCCACCCACCTGGCCATAAAATACATATTTTAAATATGCAAAATATCTCATCAAGCATATTGAAAATTGATAAAAACGTGAACTAGACAGGATAATAATAATGTTATAAAAGTGTAAAACAACTCCTTACAAGGGAAAATGTGCCAACAACAATCTATACCATTCCTTGTCTGGCAGAAGAGTCACTTGTGGGCTAATGTTTGCTTTCCATAAAATTTGCTCTCATGGGGCTGGAGAGATGGCTCAGCAGTTAATAGCACTGACTGCTTTTGCAGAGGACCCAGGTTCAATTCCCAGCACCCACATGGCAGCTATGAACTGTCCTTAACTCCAGTTCCAGGGGAATCCGAAGTCCTCTTCTGACCTCCACAGCATTGCACGACACGGGTGCACTCACATACATGCAGGCAATATACTCATACACATAAAATAAAAATAATAAATAAAATGTTTTTTTAAAAAATTGCTCTCACAACTCCTGTAAAAACATCTGAGAGCTGAGGGTGTAGCTCTGTGATAGAGCATGTGCTTAGCAAGCTCCAAACCATGGCTTCAGTCATCAGGAAAACAAAACACAACTGTCTTGATGGTGTCTTTCATTGGACCAATTATAGACATGTCTGCATTGCAGGCCTTTTTGTGGTGTTAGTAAAAGGACATGGGAAATAGGAAAACTGAAAGCTTTGATAGAGTTTAGACACTAAACAGTATGGTCTTCAAGGGGTTGAAAAAAACCAAAAACCTAACAAGCTCCATGCATACAAGAAAATGTGTTGAGACTTGGCTTCTAGCTCTCCCCACCCCCCACACACAACCGTACATTAAACAAATATGCATTTGCTCTACGCCACATATGTAAATAATCTGCAATGAGTAGAAAGAAAAAGCAAGACAAGACAGAAAGGACTTCCTGGTTTCCAGAGTTTCAGTTCCAGGTTCCAATCCATCTGTGAGGATCTCTTCATTCTTTCCCACAGATTCTGTGAGAAGTCTTCACATCTTTTAAAATAATTTCACTTTTTTGCTTAATATAGCTTTGAATGGATTACTGTTACTGGCCACCAGGAAGTGTTCTGTTTGTTTGTGTTTGTTTTTTTAAAACATGTTCTTTATTGGGTGTGGAGTGGTGGGCATGGCAACTGCCCTGACATGTTTGCAGAGGTGAGAGGTCAGCTTGCACAAGTTGTCTGCCTCCACCACATGGGTTCCACAGATAAAACTCAGGTCATCAGGCTTGTGACAAGTGCTTTGTGGAGGTCAGAGGACAGCTTGCACAAGTTGGTTCTCTACCTCCACCATATGGGTTCCATGGATAAAACTGAGGTTCAGAGGTCAGCTTGTACAAGTTGGATCTCTACCTCTGCCACATGGGTTCCACGGATAAAATTCAGGTCATCAGGTTTGGTGACAAGTGCTTTTACCCTCTGAGCCATCCTGTTGACCCAGAAAATAGTCTTAAATAATATATTTTCACAAGCCAGGCAAAATGGTGCATGCCTGTCATTCCAGCACGTTTGAGGCTGAGGCAGGAGGCTTATGAGTTCAAATCCAGCCTAAGCTACTGTCTTAGTTTGTTCTTCATTGCTGTGACAAAATACTCTGACCACTACCAACCTGGGGTGAAAAGGGTTTATTTAGCTTATAACTCCCAGGTGGCAGTTCATCAAGGAGCCCAAGGTAGAAACTCAGGGCAGGAACCTGGGAGCAGGAACTGGAGCACAGGCCATGGAAGAATGCTGTTTACTGGAT